CTTCGCAATAAAATAAACATGATTATCGTTTGATCTTACTCCGTTTTTTTTTGTATAGGTCGTCACTTTTCATGCATATCTTTCGTATGAAGCATCACAACAAATAAATCATAGAATAACAAGTAAGAAATGAGAAAGTAGAAATGAATGAATTTATTAAAGTCAATGTTCATTTGTTGTAGAGATAAAGCATTTATCTTAACTTTAAATTCATTTAAGATTTGCTACTTTATCCTTCAGATTGATAAAAGATCATTAGTAGTTGCCAATTGATCCCTTAATATAAAATGTTAACGAGGTACTTCAATAATTTATATTAAATTTGTTTTCTTGCTTATCATTTAATTTTGAGTCTCTTTCTACTTCAATAAGGACTCAACATGATGTTATCTGAGCTATTTAAAAGAAAACTTTCAGCTAACCACTGGATCAGTCCAAATTACATTCTTTTCTCTACTATAGTCAAAAGAAAATATATTGGTGTCGAAACTGATGAACCAGTTAGAATGATTTCTTTATAAAAGGCTCGAAAAACACCTGACTCAGTGCCTTTTAGAACAGGGGAGAACTCTACTTCAAATCATATTCATCGAACTGAATAATTTAAACGGATATGTAAGTAAATTAGGTGTTAAGTAGAATAACTTCAATTTTTGTATAAAATATTAAGCGATTTGTTACTACTTAATATTAAGAAATGAATGAGTGACTGTTGATCTTTTTACATGGCTGTTATATGTTACGTAAAGGTGATGAATGCTTGACTTGATGAAATCATACTTGTTGGCCAACATTCATGATAAACCAAAGCAAATACTCAGATCGATTCGTGACTAGATTACGAATCTTTGCTATTTATATTGCAGAAGGATGTTGTCTAATAGAAAAATATTCTTGACGAAGAACTCAAACAAATATATTAATATTTGATAAAATGAATTCCGAAAAAATTTTGACTAGCATCTAAATATTTATAGTTGTTTCTTATAGTTTTCTTTCAACTTGAGATGATATTTTTCTGTACCATTCCAGCTCAACACTGAATGAATGGTGAGAAGTGTTCGAAGTTCTCAGCTTCCATTATCCTCAAAGAACGGAACCAACGTAGTGAATACTAAGTTTTTGTACATTTCCAATTAACAAATTCGAGCATATTCCATGTTTTAAAGTTGAAGATGAAATTCTCCTTTTTGATAGCACTCATCTCTAAGTAGTTTGCTCAATCTTTATAGAATTCCTCTATATGGAATTCCACAATTTTATCGAATAATGACCAAACCATTGAATTTTAGTCACCTGAATTATACATTTCTAAAATAAAAATTATTTTCTTCGATGAAAAATTTTCTCACGAAAAAATGATTCATATTCTCTATCATCGTTTTTTCTTGATTGACTAAAAACAAAATTGTTTCAAAGAAAACAATTGTTGAAAAAGATTTTGTTAACTCTTCATTTATTCTCGTCTTTTCAAATGTTGTCAAACAACTCTTCTTTATATTTAGTGATATTTAATAAAAATATCAAAAAAAGGTTTAAAAAGTGTTATTTGAAAGTTCATCACATATTTTCAATCATTTCCTGTTTTTCTCAAAAAGTATTGAAATTTTCATAGATTTTTTGTCAATCTCAGTATACATACATTATACATTCAATGAAACTTAGTTTTCGTTTATTGAAAACATCGTTATCCTTTATACAGAAACCCGTAAACTAAGTTTAGATATTTACTTACAATCATTTCTTTTTGTAAATATATATATGAATTCATTTTAGATCGAGATTTTCTAATAATAAATAATATACTTTTATTCGAGTGATTTTCTTCTAAAACAAATGGCAGTAGTCAATGAATCAAGTGTATGTTCAATCTGTAATAAACCTTCCGCAAGATGCTTTTGTATTGGATGTAAAAAATATTTTTGTTCAAAGGATTTCAAAGAACATGAACAACAATTATCGATGAAATTCGATAATGAAATAGTTAGTTTTCATGATGAAGTTCTTGGACAAATACAAAAGTTAGAAAAAGATAATTATATGTCATTGGATATTTTTAATCAAATTGAACAATGGAAAAAAATAACAATAAATAAAGTAGAAAAAGCAGCAGAAAAAGTTCAACATCAACTTATCGAATTAATTGATAAACAAAGAATCAATGTAGTAAAACAAATTGAACCGATTACAAAAGAAATTCTTTATCGTCGAGAAGAAGAGAATTTTCTTGAAAATGATATTGATAGACTTCGAAAAAAAATCGATGAAATACAACAAATACTTAAACCATTTATTCAAAAAGATACAAATAAATGTATCATTGTTGATAATGATCAATTTGATTGGAATCGACTCATCTATATTCGAGCAGAACAACTATACTGTGAGTATATTGAACTAAAGATACAGAAGAAAAGAAACTCTTGAACAAATCAATTAAACATTTTTTATTATTCAATCGAACTTTTTTTCTTTTCATCAACTGATCTAAATTAATTCATCCATAGATTAGAGTTAGTTCGAGAGAGACATACATTCTTCAAGGAAAAATATTAAAATATTATTCGAAACTTATCGGTTTAACACAACTCGGCAGATTTTCATCTAAAATAAAACTCTTTTACTCTCTGAAATTTTATTTCCAATTTTCGTCAATGACCAACCGTCTCTTTGAGATTGAATAGAAAAAAGAGAATAGCAAGATCTTGTATTTTCAATGAGTTTCATCCAATAAATAAAACATTTTCAAGTAACAATTCAATTTTCAGAGACAAATGAAAAACGACTATCTTTGTTTTTGATTACTTACATGATGAATATTTGCAAATACTATCGAAAAAGAATATTGAATGGGAATGAAAAGAAAAACATGATGGATGTGCTTTTTCAAAAATCAAGTGAATCTTCAAAATATTCAAATGATACATTTATTTGTACTTTTCCAATAAGAAATCGAACGAAATAAAAACAACGATCATTGAATCTCGTTTGCGACGTAATTCTTTTTAATTGTGATGAATTGAAGTTCATCCGTGTTCAATAGAGAAAAAAAATCTTGTTTGACATAATCTAAGGAAAAATCACAAGGTCATCTGAAACTTTTTGAATTTCTCTTAAGCTAAACTCGACAATGACATAACTTCCGAGTATGACTTTCAATAGTGGAATAAAAATAAGTCAGCTTTTTCTTTCTTTCAAAGATAGCAATAAGTTAAAGAAATAAAAAGATAAAATAACGTAGAAATTTTGTCTGAAGATAATTTTGAAATAATTGTTCGAAAATTAATAATCATGTTAAATATTTCAAAGCTTTTGTCACATCTATAAGATTCTAAATCATCAGAGAATGTTGAAAATAATTTTCTCTATTGTTTGCCTAGATTTCAAAAGTTCATCGGATTGATTAAATGAAGATTGAACTAGATGAAACTTCATCTAAAATCTTTTTTAATATGTCGATCATCTGTTCTTCAGAAAAAACAAATTCTGATTTCATTATTGACATCTTATCAATAGTTCTCAACTCTCAATTTCATTCTCAAGAGTGTTAAAGACATTCAGTTGTAAAACTTGTTTCAAAGATAAAGAGTTTTTCAATGATGATTAGATGAAAAGAAAATTACAATATTTTTTGCTATTCAATTGAAGCTCCCTGACTTTTCACTTTTCATAATATCAAACTAATGAGATTACCTTTAAGATATTGTTTCATATGAAAACTCAGTACAACTGTTAGAATAATTGTATCTTGTTTTCAGCACCAGTTCTATCCAATGCAAATCTGAATACAAATACAAAATGGATACAAAATGGTATCACTGTCGCTGGAGTAAATGGGCGTGGTACCGGAATGCATCAACTTTGCAATCCATGGGGTTCGTATGTTGGTGATGATCAAACTGTCTACATTGCTGACTGTTCGAATCATCGTATTGTCGAATGGAAGCATGGTGCGACTACTGGTCGAGTTGTAGCAGGTGGAAATGGAGCAGGAAACCGTCCTGATCAGTTGAACTGTCCAACAGACGTGATTATTGATAAAGAAAGAGATAGTCTCATTATCTGTGATTATGAGAATAAAAGAGTTGTTCGATGGTCTCGTCAAAATGGTAAAAGTGGAGAAACGATCATCTCAAATGTTGGATGTTGGGGATTGACAATGGACGATGATAGATTTCTCTATATTGTTGATCATGATAAACATGAAGTTAGACAATATCGAATGGAAAAACGTCAAGAAACAGTCGTTGCAGGTGGAAAGGGACCAGGAAATCGTCTCAATCAGTTGTATCAACCCACTTACGTATTTGTCGATCGAGATCATTCAGTTTACGTATCAGATTCCAACAATAATCGCGTGATGAAGTGGATGAAAGGTGCGAAGCAAGGTATTATTGTAGCTGGTGGTCAAATTCAAGGAAATAGTCTTGCACAATTATCAAATCCTTTTGGAATTAGCGTGGATCTTTTAGGTACTGTCTATGTGGCTGACAATGGAAATAATCGAATAATGCGATGGACTCAAGGAGCCATACAGGGAACTGTCATCGTTGGTGGAAACGGTCAAGGAAATCAATCGAATCAACTCTGTCATCCCACCGGTTTGTCATTTGATCGAGAGAGAAATCTGTATGTGAGTGATGAAGGCAATGATCGAGTACAAAAGTTCAACATTGATCGACATTGATGATTTTCAAAAATTGACATTGCTTTATCGTTTCCGTCATAGTCTTGCACAAGTAATCGAGCAAATAAATCTTTTCAAATAAGATTATCTTATTTTGATTAGTAGATAATCATAAATCATACAGAACAGAATCTTTTTCCATCAAGTTGTATCGAAAACGTTTGTTTTCAGCATTAAAGAATCGATGATTTCTGAAGTTCTTCAGCGAAAAAAGACAAACGTTAAGGAGGAGTTAAATTTCGATGAATCAAACAGTAGAAAATCCTGATACGCACTGAACAATAATCTAGCACTAGACGACAAATCGAAAATTTGTTCTTATCTTATATCACAGTATTAAAATGGTCGATAAAAGAGAATTGTGTCATCTTAAAACGTTGCCCGTAAAGAAACGAAAGTAGAGATAATGTGCTCGCGAGTATTATTATGTATGTGAAAAATAATGACGCATAAGTATCATGAGAAATATCTGTCAATAAAGTGAGATAATGCTACTATATCACGAAATTTAATGTCTGATCATAATGCCGCTCGATCTACTTATTCGATGAAGATAATTTTCTTTTAAATTCTCTGATAATTTTGAATGGGCTTCGTATTAAATGAATCTGTGCCTCAAATGCTCAGTCCTTCAAGCAGAAGCCCAGGTGATTCGATCCGACTGTCGGATTACGTCGGATTATATCGGATTATATCGGAAAAATTACCGGATTTTAACGGATCCGACGGGAACTCGTCGGAAGTTGTCGGCGTCCTAGCCACAGAATTCCGACAGGAGGTTCCGGATGTCGGAATAATCAGGATCCTGCGAAATCCCTGAAACTCCGACACTTTCTGACATCCAGAACCACTTGTCGGAATCCTGTAGTTAGGATTCCGACAAATTCCGGCGAATTTCTATCGGATTCGACAGGGTGAATTCGACCTGGGAGTGATCAATATTTAGATGAGGAAGACACAGAACTGCTAATCGATGGCTTTTGCCAAAACGGAACAGACGGTGCTTTTAAATATTTGGAAAGCATCCTATGCTTCATGAACTTCCATGGACTTGTATTATCATTCAGTGGTAACTTTACCATTTGGTGTTGATCTCATATGAACTATTAGAAATGTTGATTATCGTTGAAAAAGAAGTTAATGTATATCATACTGATCTTTATGACTATTTTCATTGATCCTCTCGTTCTTTGAAGTTTCCATTATCAATCAACACATCATCAATGTTGGTGGTACAAAAAGTTTTCAAAGAGACTGAAACCCGCGTTGAGAGACTTTAATTGACGAAGACGTCGATAAGTTGAAAAACAATGAAGTTCGATTTGAGGAAAGTGAAAAACATTCAAATTCTAGATTGTACACAACGAGAATTTCATTCATTTGATTTATTTATTTATTGTATTAATGTCAAACTATTCTAATCGGTGAAAGCATATAGAATTGACTCGATTTTTTTAAGTAGGAAAATGAGGATGGTATCTTTTTATCTGATCAAAAGAAGGATCTGTTCGATCTTATTTATGAATGTTTCACAAGTAAAACTTTGCTTTTTAGTTGACTTTTATGAATAAATGATGATAATGATCCATTACTTTGATCGACTAGTGAAAATTTCATAACAAACAGAGTCGATCAACTTCAGAATCCTCTTGTTTTGATATGTGTTCGTTAAGCTGCTGGATGAAGATTTGCTTCAGTTAATTATCAAATCAAAATCAATTAAATTTGTAATGAAAATATCCAATTAACTTAACTAGAATGAATGCATGAGTGACAAAAACGATGGACAAGCGCGATATTTGGGAAAATTTCGATCACTTTTCGCCACAACGAATCAATGACAGAGATGCAACTGATTTCGATTACTCATCTGAGATAAACACACTAAAAATAGCACAAAGAATCAATCAAAGAGAACTACCATATGTAAGCATCTCGATTAGATGAAATTGTTTTCAGAATAAATCCAACGAAGTATTGATGTGTTCGAGCAAATGATTCTCCGATAAACTAAACCAATCACCGAATATGTGAAATAAATAAAATCAAGTAAATCAGTTGAACTTGAATTGATTATTCTCATTCTTGTTCAATGTTCATTTTCTTGTTATTTACTGTACTTCAATATCTTTCAATCATTCGATGCAGAAACGCAAAAGCAAAAAACACAAGATTAATTGTGACACAATGTTGTATTGAATAAAACTTTATGAAATGAACTTCTATATTGAGAAGAACCTTTCGTATTTTTATCAATAGTTTTGTTTAACTACTCGATCAATTTCATTCTTGTGATTATTGGTGATTCAAATGTTTTTTATGGTAGCAGTAAAAGAACATTAAAGACATACTTATCGACATTGATGTGTATCAATTATTTTCTCTTAAAGATCTCGATTCGAATCAATCTAAGATTAGATGTTTTTGCAAGTTTTTCTCTGCAACTCGATAAAGTACTACCAAGGAAGATATAGGATATATACACAACTGTACAGAACGGAAGAGTTAATTGTCTTCTGACTATGATCATTCGGTCTTACAAGAATTGAGATAATAACTATAATTCTTTGGTGAAACTTGAAACTAGATGCAATGGAATGATTTCATTCTTGGGTAAGCTGAACTTTTTAGCTAAACCTGGTAGAAGAACGAGTTGAAAAGCAATTTTTATTTACTTATTTAGTATAATGGTAAGCACTATAGGCTTTCTAGCAAGATTTTTGTTCTCTTGAAATGTAGTAACTCTCTAATACGTCATTATTTCGAACAAAATCCAGAACTAACGAAGTCACAGAGAAATACTGCTTAAAAAGCTAAAAAACACTAAAAAAATTAGAGCAGTTGCTGCTCAAATCGAGAAAACGTAATTTTTATCGATGAATTTGAGGAAGGATAACATAATTTAAACGTTATTGGTTCATTGCAAAACATATGAATGTTTTTATTTGATTCATAACACTTAAGGAGCGTTCAGCAGTGAATGTTGTTATGAATATTGTCAAATATAACGATAACAGTTTGCTATATTCAGAAAGACAGTTTTGTCAATCTGTTTTTTTATTTAAAAATGGAATGTGGACTGACTCTCTAGCAAGACGTCATTTGTCAGAACAAAATGACAACCGAACAGTAATAGATAATTTTTACTTCTTTACAGAGTATGCTTTAACTTTTATCTATCCAATCTATGAGCCTAATCAGGCCTTCTTGATGTGCCATTCATGTTAGAAACTAAATTATAGCCTGCTGGAAGATTATGAGATCATCTTTTCGATCGAGTATTTTGACGGCCTATGAACATAATATGTTCTGAAAGTTCACTTGATACAAATTCAGCTCAATGTCAAATAGTGTTCATCAATAAAAGAAAAAAATAGAATTCTATCTAATGAGGAAAGAACTAAGCCGAGAAATTGCATTGATAATTTAGAAAACAAAAGATTTCGAATCCATTTGTGTCGTTGAGTACATAGCTAAAAGTAACCTTGTAATCATTCCATCATTAATTGATGGGAAGAGAAGTTTTTCACATCGGAAACGATTTTATTTCGTCTATCTAATCAAATCTATAAATGACTTGATTTTATGAAGCATTAGTTATTTTCGAACATTCACAAATCTCTAAATATTAACTGATGAATGTGCTTGATATGTAGAGAAGAAAGATACATATGAGTTGAGGAACAATGAATCCTATTTTTTGTTCGAACTAAAATTCTAAATTGGAATTTAATTTTAGCGCACAAATTCTTTTTTTTTTCTATGCACAATATTGAAACATTTATTGTGATTGGCTGTGAAATTCTCCATGATGAAATCTGAATATATAATGAAACACTTTGATGGTGCAATTACTCTTGTTGACATGACACACAATCAACATAGGTATGGTTGGTATCACATTTTGTCAATCCTCTTTCGTTTCTTTTTATTTTTGTTTTTAAAGCACGTTTTCATATGAGGACAGCAACGCAGGTAACGATTTGTGTTAAATACAAGAAAACAAAGAGCATTGTCACATGTAAAGGCTGTTCGAAAGATTTTTGTCTTGATCACATCAATGAACATTATAATGAATTAAGCGAACAATTAGGTAAAACTGAAGATCAATTTAATGCATTCAAAATTGAAATCGACAAACAAAAAGTCGAGCCACAAAAACATGAATTAATCAAACAAGTCGATACATGGGAACGTGAATCAATCGAAAAGATTCGACAAGTGTCCAATGAACTTCGTCATGAGCTCTCATCGCGTGTCATCACATTTGTTACCAATCTCGATTCAAATTTGAAACAACTGACCGAACGACTCATTCATTGTCGTAAAGAAAATGATTTTGCTGAACCAGACATTCAATTTTTCAATGAAGAACTTAAACGATTGAAAGACATTCTCAACAATTCACCTGATTTGAAAGTTGAGTACGATTCAACATCTTTCATCAACAAAATTCGTCTTACAAAGAAAGGTGAGTTATATCTTCCCATTCTGAAATTCCATTACGATGAAGCATTGACCGTTCAAGCTTTTCTTTTACAATTGTTGCTGTTGAGAGAGAAACAACACAAAATAGTGACAGAAATCTCGATATTTACATAAGATAATTGTTTACATTAAAATGTTTGAACATTCAAAGAATATATCAGATTTCTCAATACTAAAACGAAATGACTCGGTTTTACATTAAATAAGAATGAGCATATTGTCGAAGAATGAATTCATCATAAAATATTTTGCAAGTCTCATTTATTGTTGAGCTCGAGTCGCATATGAAATTAACTAGAGTTAGTCACCTTAAAAGAAAATAACGAAGCCTGAGAAATCTTGTTCATCTATATTAATAATACAAATCGGTTTCGTCAACATTCGTTTGTCTCTTTGACATTCGCTAGAAAAAAAGATCGCAAGATCTTTCATTGTCAATATGTTTCATTCGACAAAAAAAAACACTTTCAAAATCAGTTAAACTTTGAAATGCAGTTCCTCGAAACTTGAATCCGATTTAATCACCATAAGGAAAGATGATAAATTTGTTTTCAAAAAAAAACACAGAACAAAAAGAAAAAATATGCGAATATGAAATCAAACGAAACAATAATAAAGATCGATGAATCTATCATCCATGTTTGAAAACTTATTTCGTTGTATGTTTCTGTGACATACAAGTTCAATTACCTCTGTTTAGAAGATTGTTTGCAAGTAAATATTTCTTTCGAAAGATCGTTCTCCTATCGATCACTTTTCCAAAGAGTGAATCATTAAAAAGTTGTTCTTCATGTCTCGCCTTACCTTCTTGTTTTGTTGTTACTGTAAAGTGGAGTTATTTGATGTAACAGTTGATGAGTTTTTCGGTATTCATTGAAAATAACTTCTATTCTTTAATCGAAAAATATCTCGTCGAAGATACACGAATGTTGTATTTTTGCCGACGAATCATCAGCACTCAATTTTCAGAGTGAAGATGGACGCTATGTGTTCACTTTCAACCCAAGTACAAATGATGCCGAGTTGAATCGAAAGAATCTTTTCTACGTGTCAAAGTTTTTTATAACTCTTTTGAGTCTCTTATTGGAATACCTTTCGAAAATGTAGACGATTATTATATCACGTATTTAGAATAGTTACATGTATTATTCCTTTTAGTTTTAATGCTTTGAACTTTATTCGTGTTCAACAGGGAACAAATCATGTAGGAAAGAATTCGAGGAAAATCACAAGATTATCTGATATTTTTTTAAAATTTCTTTTAAGTTAATCTCAACAATGACATAAATCGAAAGTCAACGCTCATAGAAATAAAACGATGAACTGTTTTAGAATTTGTTAAATATTGTTGATTAGAGATATAGGATGTTCTAAAAGAAAAGGTTATGTTTTCTTTCTTTCAAAAGTCGTGATAGGTTGAACAAAACAAAGGAGAAGTGATTGAGAAATATTATTTGAAAGACCATTATGAGAAATTTGAAATTTGATCCTCTTAGTTCTCAACTACCATTGTATGAAAAGTAAAGACATAAATATATATTAAAACTTGGTTGCAAACTGTTCGAATTAGTTGTTAGTATTTACTCTGTCGAAAATATATAGTCGTCTTTAGTATTTCAAAACTTTTGTCATATCTGTGAGATCCTAAAACAGCAGAGACAACTGGCAATATTTTTGTCGAGGTTTTCTTCACATTTGAAATATTCGTCTTTTTGATCTAATGAAGATCGAACTGGATGAAACTTCATCCAGCGTATCTTCAAGAATCGATTGTTTATTTTCAAAACAAATAACTGATTTCATCATCGAAACCACATTCATAGATCTCAATCTGAATTTCATTTCTACGAAAGTCTCGATCATATTCAGTTGATTGTCTTGATTTAAAAGATCATTGAAGAAAAAGGTTCTTTTGAATTGATTGAATAAAACATCGTCTCGAAACTAGTTAGAGTAACAGGTCGATTTCGATCGAAAATCATTAGTCATTTCAATCATCCGCAACTACCTTCAACAATTATTTATTCGAACAGATCGGTACTGTCAGGTATTATTCATTCATATTGATGATCAATAATAACATTTTGTTATTAAGACTTCTTTAAAGAATGAAAAGTCTTTCGATGATAGTGAGATGAGGAGAAACTTCGATCTTTAATTCGAAAATGTGAATGTTAATTATCGTTCAAACGGAGTTCTCAGATCATCTCTATTGAAAATATTAAAACAACGAGATTATCCTTGAGACCTTGTTCAATATGATAATTGAGTAATAATTATTTTTCTCTTCCCTTATCAATTAAAAGCTTCTTGCTCTTAAATATCTTATATTTCATCCACGTACATTGTTTTGTTGAGTATGCTCTAAATTGCGTTTTGTTGTAGCACCATTACTACGCAGTGTAAATCTGAATACACATACAAAATGGATACAGAATGGTGTCACTGTAGCTGGAGGAAATGGAGAAGGCAACGGAATAAATCAAATCTACTATCCAAATGGTTTGTATGTTGATGATGATCAAACTCTCTACATTGCTGACAACTCGAATTATCGTATTGTGGAATGGAAATGTGATGCGAGGATTGGTCGAATTGTGGCTGGTGGAAATGGAGAAGGAAATCGTTCTGATCAGTTGAAGGCTCTAGCAGATGTAATTAGTGACAAAGAAAGAGATAGCCTAATCATTAGTGATTATGGTAATAAAAGAGTCGTTCAGTGGCCTCATCAAAATGGAACAAATGGAGAAGCCATCATTTCAAACGTTGGATGTTGTGGTTTGTCAATGAATGATGAGGGATTTCTCTATGTTGCTGATTATGATAAACATGAAGTCAGACGATATCGAATAGGAGAAAGTAAAGGAACAGTGGTAGCAGGTGGAAACGAACCAGGGAATCGTCTCGATCAGCTGAGTAATCCGACATACATATTCGTCGATCGAGATCATTCAATTTACATATCAGACTATGGTAACCATCGTGTGATGAAGTGGATGGAAGGTGCAAAACAGGGTATTATTGTGGCTGGTGGTCAAGGTCAAGGAAATAGCCTTACTCAATTATCGAATCCTTGGGGAATTATTGTGGATCAATCAGGTACTGTGTATGTGGCTGACTATGGAAATCATCGAATAATGCGTTGGTCTCTAGAAGCCTCAAAGGGAAGTGTTATGGTTGGTGGAAATGGTCAAGGAAGTCAAGCAAATCAACTCTCTTTTCCCTGTAGTTTATCATTTGACGGAGAGGGTAACCTCTATGTGAGTGATAATGGAAACCATCGAGTACAAAAGTTCAACATTGATCAAAGTTGATGATTTTTGAAAATTCGCACTGCTTTAACGTTCTCCTCATCGTCTTGAGCAAGTGATCGAACAATAAAATCGTTCTCAATAGAAATATCTTGTTTTGACTAGATCAGATATCGAGTTAAAAGTTTTTGTTTTCATCATTAAAAAGTCGATGATTTTTGAAACTCCCATGTTACAGAGGCAAATGTCAAAGATGATTCGGATTTCGATCGATTAAACAGGTGAAACTTTCGGTATGCAATGAATGGTGATTCAGAAATAAGCGAGTATTTCAAAAATTCTCCTTTGCCTTTTGTCATATGAATACATTAAAGTTCATCATGCCAACGTATTAAAATCTCCGGCGAAAGAGAAACGTTGATAGTTAAGTAGAAAAAAAACCTTTTTTCTGTCGATTGTTGTTGTAAATGTGAAAGACAACAATAAGCCAATATCGTCACGAACATTTGTCGACTAAGACAGAAAACGCTATGTCATCACCAAAGTGGACGTATCGTCGCATGTCGATTAGATAAGTAATTAGTTTCATTTGAGTGCGCATTTTCTTTTCATTCACATCCAAGTTTGAACTTAATAGAACGGTATACTGCTCGAATATAGGCAATGAATAAATAAATAAATACACGTAGTATAGCTCTTTATCGGAACATATAGTCTATAATCAAGGTGGAAAAAGTTTTTTAAATCAACAAAAAAACTTAGTTACAATGAAAATGAAAGGAAACTTATAAATGTAGTTCATTTTTTGGCAAGTAATTACTTTTTAAATATTTTTTGAACGCATTAGTCATGTTTGGTGTAGACATGATGATTTCCATCGAGTATAAAGAAATGATAAAGCGGATAGTATGTCCACACCTATATTCAATAGAAAGTGTGTAAAATTGTATTTCTACCCACATCTAACTAAACAGTACACAACAGATGGAAAAGAAACCGAATCAAACGGATAAATACTCTTGTGAGAGAGCTGTAAATCACTAGGACAATTTGTGTGTGTAGACTGAAGAAGCATCGTTGAGCAACTTCCTTGATTAATGATAAAAACATGAATATAAAAAATAATTCGGTGTTTTTGTGGTCAGTCGATTCGATGATTTGATATATTTACAATGTTTCTTGTTAAACGTTTAGAGATCAAATGAGACTACAATTACTTTTTTACCAGTTCGTGTCACATGAAGTATTCTAGGCGCAAACTCCTACACATATTAGTAGGAAGAAAAATTTCTAACTGCATTGTCTATTTTTGTCATGTTAAGAACTATGTGTGGACTAGTCATACAAAGCACTATTTCGATTTTATATTACATATAAAACATGAATAGAAGACCGGAAAGATCATAGTCTAACGATATGCTTTTTCATGTTGGAACACATATATTTTTATTTAATTAAAATGACTTTTGAAAAACTTATGCAACTACATTGTCTTTTTTCTGTTCTTTCTGACGAATTATCATCAGATTCTCCTTTTAAGCAAACTAAAACTAGGTGTAGATGGGTAAGAGTAGAACAACATGAGAGTTCATGGGATCTAAAATGAGCTTACCTAGGTTCAGTTTTAAAAGCTTTTACTGATCGGATCTGGATTAGATGAAAACTACCACACATATAATAATGTTAATTGAATTTTTTTCTACCTTTGTTCGTTTTATGCAAAGAACCATTACATCTATTTTTCAAAATAGAAAAAACACAACAAAACTCTTACTCGCTATGATATCTAGAACTGACAACCATTGAGTTCGGGTCTAAATTGAAGTTCCGAAAATCTTGAAACCTATCGGCTCTAACCTACACCCCTTCCTAAATTAGAGGAAATATATCTTCTAAGAAATCTAATGTATTTTGCATGTGCAGAAGTTGCGAGTGCCTTACATATAAATCTATGTACTGACTCATCAGGAAGTACAATGACCGGTATTATTAATTGTACAACCGGCTTTCAAAGCTTGCACTAAGGTGATAATACGATTTCTATGATCCACGGTAAAGATTTTAATGTGTATGAATCAACAGAACCGTCCGACTGTCGTTTTTCGTGTTTTTCAAAGTGACTGTGTAGAAAAAGAAAACAAATACACAGTGAAAGTCAAATGAATTTCTGTCCCTTCCTCTCCGGTACTTTTTTGTTTATATAGCAATACTTGGCTTTTCTTAAGATATTATCTTTAGTGAGAAAGTAACAGACACACTGCATCTAATGGTGTATCTATTGTGAAGAATAAACCAGATTAAACCAAAAAATGTTGACAGGAAAAAAACAACAGTTTGTTTCTACAATGAATGTCAATTTTTTTATTATGATAAAAAAATTTCACAGTATCATCTATGGATACAACGATTCTACTTCTTAGAATTGATCAGAATAAGTTACGGGTAGCGAGATAGTGGAAAGCTATTCACTGGATTTTTCTACTAACGAAAGGCGTTTTACGAGCAAAAACAATTTTTCTGCAAAGTTTTAACCACAAGTGCCTCGAGTAGAGACAACTTCATCGAGAAACTAATTACAGATTCAGATTCCTTTGAGCTCGAAAACCTGAGGTCTAACTTTATAAAAAAATCGTTTTGTGTCCAAAATAGACTCTTCGTGAACGAGAAAAAATCCAATCTAAAATTTTCTAGTCTCCTGTTACCCTACCAATGGTCAAGTGTCTATTTGTGCAATGGAAGCTTTTTACTCTTAATCAATTTCTATTACGGCTAATATCATATTAAATTTAAGAAATGAAATCGTTGCATTCCTGGATGTTATTATGAACTGTTTTTTTTAATCATGATCAAGATATTGATGTTCATTATAGAAAAAACCGTTACTTTTTAGTATGGCTAATAATGAAGTTTAGGCTAATATTCAACTTATATAACAATTTAATTGTTCTGAGTATTTCGATAGAGTACAGAATTACTTTCATTTTCAATAAATATATATATATCTGATTATTCTTGATTCTGTCTGAAACAGATGATATAACTGAATCATCGACTTGAAAAGTAATCTTAGACTATGGATGAAACCAGTTTGAATTTGTCAGACTACTTAAAGAAAACACGTTGAAGAAAAATTGCATCAAATGCAATTATATTTTTGACGAGCTTAATAAATTCTGAATATTGTTTAAAAATTTCAATTCAAATATTATTTTTCACAGAAAATAGATTCGACACAATGTCATCTAACTTCGACTCATCAATAAAATATTACGTTTACCATTATTATACTTTATAGAAAAGATTTGAAACACGATCCACATTTAAGTATTGTTACTAAATTATATTTTTTTATATCATCCAAACAAAATGTGTTAATATAAAAAGATTCATTCAAACATTCATTAATGTGAGTACAGAAAGGCAATCAACTATTTTTAAAATCAAATTTCACTTTTCATTAGAAATCTTATTTATGAAATTCTTGTCGATTAGTATGAATAAACATGAGATATGTTAATCAATTGATCTGTTATAGAAAAATGAATCATTGCACGACGCTGTCATAGAGATCGAAGGATGATTTAGAAACAAATCTATTATATATTTATTTTTTACACAAGACATAAACAAATAACAATAAGATACATATTGAACAAGTAAAAAGAGATATATTCTACCATATATCAATCTATCTGTTTAGTTTAAAGCTTTTTCGAATATGTTGTAAGGAGTAAGAATCAACAGTAATTTATGGTGTACAAACTAATGCCAACATGAAAAAAGAAGATAAAGTTGTTATATACCCAGAAAATCGATAGATCACGAATCGATCCTAAAATTTAATATAAAAATATGTTCCTCCCATTGTTATATCAAATATATTCTTATATTAAATCATAAATCCATTGCAAAGACGTCATTGAAAGAATATTCATAAATCTTGACACAGTAAATACTGTAATTCTCCCTCAGGCATCAATTAAAAATCACTCATCAGTCGAAAATGTATATCTAATAAAACTCGAAATTATACTTTCGATTAAGATTATTTGTGTATTTTAAAATCCGAAATATGCCCTTGTTGTAGATAAATACATACTTCAATGAATGGTTTATGACTGAAATCATTGAAAAAACTATAAACCAATTCAACAATAATAATGAACTCTATTAACAACATGTTGCTAATGATAATAAATTCCACGATGTTTTTCATTCGCCATCTTTCGTATGAGTTTCTTCCTAAAAATTTTCAGATAAATATTATTTATCATCGGATAAGAACCGATATATATATATATATATTCAATTAGTCTACTCACCTGTAACATTTAAGATATCTGCTATGGCAACAAAAGTAAAGTATGTGGCACATGCGAGCAGATAGGTATTTGTTATGGCTGCTACAAGCATAATGCAGCAACTAATGATAAGTATTATGACGCAAAGTATACATTGTGCTAAATAAAGAAAAGTCTAAACGTGAGAAATTATGTTTTTGATTTTCAATATGCTTCATACTTACATCACTGGAGGTGTTATACAGATGTAAAATGCACATTCTTATCAATTCACAAATGACAACATTAATAATAATAATGATAAAAAGCCATCCTAAAACTTCAATTATGTCACTCCATTCAGATCTTGAATAAAAGCGTCGAATAAATGAGTATTCCTAGAATATAGACAACGACCTCGTAACTACTATAAAGTTGAAATTTAATTTTCTTTTTTATTTTGCTAAATACTCTAGTTTTTTTTTCTTGTGATCTGTAATATAATCGATTCTTTTGTTTACAAACCTCTCTGTTTGATTGAGCTTGTTGTTGATCGATATGAGATGTTTTCTCTTGATTCGCATTTGTTATTCTGACGTCAATCATCTCTGGAGTTGTTGGAGTGACTGTTTGCATCTTGTTCTAAGTAATGTGTGACAAGAGGCATGATATCTGCAGGTATACATATATATATATATACTAGTGAATAAGTGTGTGAAAAAGACAACTGACCGTCAGACATATTGATTAATCATTTTCTCTCGACGAAGCAAATTTAGCCGA